TTGCTAATCATGGTTATACGATGACCCACACCCGTCCCATTTACATCCAAAGATAGGGTTACTATCTTAATCAATGGTAAGATAACAATGTCAAAGGAAAGAGAAAATGAATATGAAAGACTTTTTGAGTAGGTAAAATGCCCCTAGTTACTTGCTCACTTTCAAAACAAAACATCATTGCTATTTTCAAAACAAACACCTATAAAACATCTTACAAACTTGAAAACATTTTCAAAAGATCAACATCTTTGTATACATTCTTACGAACGATAATCATTACAAAGTTTGCCTAAACAATGGCCTATTTACAAAATACTTTCAAAAACCACACAAAGCACAATTTCAAACAAAAGCAAGTGATATAGCAAGTAACTAAGAGCCCGTGGAAAATCATGGATGAAAAGGATGATAATACCTTCCCTTTTCATAATCTACCCCCCGAACTCAAGAAATAATCTCAAAGGTATTTCCTATGCTTTTTCACCTTTCCTTTTGGATAAAAGAAAAGTCGGTGGTGACTCTTGCTAACCGCAACATTTGTGATCAAACACAAAACACCCAAGTCAGTTCTCCCACCGTATCACATGATGCATGGGAGATGTGCGTGCAAATGATTTCAAGGATTTATAAAATTTAAATTTGTCTAGACAAAGAATGAACAAACGTCAAATTGCATTAATTAGTTCAAAATGGTTACAACGTGCCTCTTGGGCTTACAAAGTAAATTTCTAAGATAAAAAGGTCGAACACATCCTCTTTGGTGCAAGGTAGGCGTTCAAGCTCTGTTCTTCATGTAGTTACTTTGTAAGCTCTAAAACCCTTTTATCACTTGCGTAGAATTAAGGTTCAAAAGTGTCTCTATCTTCCTTTAGCTGAACCCAACCCTTTTGCAAGTCTTCAAGAGAAGTAGGCATGTCGGGATAGAGGACAGTGTACGGGACATCTCCTCCAGCAACAAGCTCCATGATAACTGGTAGGATGGAGGGGTAAGGCACTACCAGCTTCTGAGCACGAGCTCGTACCCACCTAAGGTAAGGCTCAAGGGGAATAGAATTCTTGTGTCCCAATATCTTACTATCCACTTTGTTTACCATCCTCCAAGCTCGCACAAACCTCTGACGGTAGCCTTGATCATCGCTCTCGTAGTCGATTACCACTCCTTGGATGAGCAAATCATGAGGACCATCTCTTCGGGCATACCCAAACTATCACAAAGCTAAACAAGAGTTTTAAGTGATACCTCCCCTGATGCCAAGCAAAGGGACATTAGGGAATTCCCCATAATGATCGATGATAATAATGTTCTCTAACGATCAGAACACCAGTGAATATTCGAATGTCTGAGTGGCATCAACCTATGGGACCACCTCAAACCTTGCTCGTTCTTTAATACGGATCGGGGGAGATGCGAGACAAAGCACATATCTAATAGAGGAGTGCAACATATGAGGGTCCATCTTTTCCTCATGGTGCGAGAGTGGAGAGAATGTAGGATATCTCCCAACAAAGTAGGCACCGGATTGCGGGACATGAAGATTTTGACAACATTTACATCTATAAGTTGGTCAGGATTTAGAAATAGTACCATCCCATAGATGAGAAGGGCCAAGATTTCTTCAAAGGCTTATAAATCCAGAGTGTTCCAACAATTTTGAGCTTTTTCAAACAAGAACTTGGCTAAGAACCCTCTGACACCACTTCTTGTTTCCCAATTAGCCGTGACATCAAATTGTTGCAAGTGTAGCACTCGGGAAATCTCTTCTGGGCTTGGATATCTTTCCATACCATTGAAAGGTAGTTGATTGAGAATAGGAATCCTCAAGAGTTGAGATAATTCTTCCATAGTAGATACAAGTTGGTAATCAGGAAAGGTAAAGCAATGTTGTAAAGAGTCGAAGAACTGGAAAAGCACTTTCATCATGTCTTCATCAATGCTTGAGGTAACAAAGTTTACGAGTCGACCATGTCTTTCGGTGAATGAAGAACTCTCAGGAATCCTCGATGCTAACTCTTTGAGTTGAGAAGGAATTCTTACGAGATTGACTTGGATAGTATTCCTGCGGGTGGAAGCCATGTCCTACAAAACAAAACAAAGATAAATCCCAATAATCCTTGAAATGGTTAGTGCAAAAATACAATGGTATGCTGTTATGATGCTGTGGTGTTCCGAGCAGTTGGCAGGAAATTAGGAATTATTGTTGTGGTTGTTATGATGTTGTGATGTTCCGAGCAGTTGGCAGGAAATTATGAATTATTGTTGTGGTCATTATATGAAGGTTCAGCGTGACTGTCTTGTACAATTAGTGAATATGTTGAAAGTAGATATAGTTTCCCGTTACAGTAGTATTCTGAACAATTGGCCAAAAATCATGGATTATGCTGTGGTGGTCGTTATGCTGTTGTATTATTCTACGTTGTTGGTCGAAACTAGTGGTCGAGGAGAATGTTGATGGTGTTTGGTGCTAAGCGGCATTTAGGTTGCGAGGTATGTCGGAGAATATGTGTTGGATGTCGAGTTGTATTAGGCTGCAAGGCGTGTTGAGGAGCACAATAGTAATGTCGAGTTGTACGAAGCTGCAGGTTGTGTCGAGGAGCGTAAGTAGTTGTTATTATTTTGTTTATGTGCGTGTCGAGGAGTCTTGAGTCAGTTATTATTCTGTCTTTGTTGTTGTGTATGTCGAGGGGCTCATAGTTTCCCTAGGTCTATTGTCCGGTTGTGTCGATTTGATTGTTACAATGTGCTGTATAAGTTGTCTTGAGTTGAGAAATTGTAGGTTGATGATTTATGTTGATATGCCTCTAACTTGGTAGATATTATGTTATAGGCTTATGGCCAAAGTTGATTTATGTTGATGTTGAACTGTTGTTGAAGTTATAGGCTTATGACCAACGTTGATTTATGTTAAGTTGTTGTTTGTTGCTGTTGTTGCTGCATTCATGTTGTATCACATATCAAGTTGGAGCTGATGCTCGTTAAGTTGGTCTGGATTGGAAAAATATTAAGTTGAAGGCTTATGCCTTGTTGATGCCTCTATTTATTGGCAGATTTTTAAGTTGGGAGTTCTGCTCCATTGGTACCACATACATTTGCATAAAGACAAGTTGTATTCTGAGTCGTTGTGTGGTTGATTTGATTATGTTCATGTTGTTATTATTTGAGAAGTGGTGAATATGTATGAATTGATCCTAACGTTTATTTATTATACGTTCTATTATACTATTTGATATCTCACCCCTTCTGTTTGAATGTTACCCATATGTTGGTAACATGCAGGTAATCCAGAGTGAAGGCTGTTTACCTTCAGTAGTTCGAGTTGGTGTCATTGCTCTGATACGTAACACTCGGGGGGATGAACGCTTGCTATTTTATTGTTATTATTCAGTTGTTGCACTTTAAGTTATTGTTGGTTAAATAATTGTTATCTGAAGTTGTTTTAGTTGGATAAAGATGTTATATTCTTTAAGTTGAATATTTGATTCCGATGCGTGGTTATGAAAGTTATTAATTTTAAAAGATTAATTTATATTGCTGTGAGTTCATCCAAGTTAATGTGTTATGTATCTGTAATGAATACCGTTGTTTTAAGTTGAATTTGTAGCATCCTAATTTGGCTGTGGAAGTTTTATAACTCTGATTTTATATAATTGTCGGGGTAGAATTTGGGTGTTACATCAGGTGTCGACTGAGAAGAAGAAGTCTCTCATGTCTCAAATACCATATGGCGTATGTGGAAGGAAGGAGGTGGAGAGGTATGGACTGAATGTGGTGTAGTCTGTGAGGGGAACCAGATGTCTCTCCTGGTTTGGATATCTACGGTGAGGACGTATGTCTGCGGGAGGACAGAGGCAGAGATGGATGAACATGAGACTTTTGTCTGATGGTCAATGGAATGGAAGTAGAAACACCATCAACAATGGGCGTATCCGACACAACCTGTCTAAGAGCCTGAAAAGCCTGAATCCTTTTCCTACGCACAAAAACATGCTATGAAAGTCTCCCGTGTCTCAATTTGGATGATCTCTCATCCATAATACCTGTAGAATAAATGAAACAAGTATTAAACAATAACACTATTGTGCATAAAATGAGGGGAAAATTGTCTGGTGCATAACCGGAAGTATACTTCCAGTTTTAGTCAAGAACATACCGGAAATACACTTCCGGTACGACCTGCAACTTAATAGGTTCGTCAATGGCGATGCTGAACCATATTGGGGACAAAAAACAAGCATTGATCATCAAAAAGGCATGGCTAACACTTCCTTATTGACTTCAAACATTTGAAGAACTAAACAAACTACATTTTACTACCCTAAAACACAATTTGTATGTAAAATAAAAAACTTAATAATGCTAAAAAACAACTTACAATGATTGATTCTCCTTGGTTGATTCCGATTATGTCTGATGATTTCCTTATGTGTTGCGATAAATTGATGGATTTTGAAACAATGAGTATTTTGGAACAATGAGAATTTTAGGAGGTTTTGTGTTTTGTTTGTGTTTGCAGCAAATGAGGAAGGGAAGAGGTTAGCACGGGTATATGTCAAAATACAAATCGAAAATACATTTACGGTTTGAAACTAGTGTAGCATTTCCGGTTCGTATCAACGTGGTAGAGCGTGACTTATTAGAGTATAACTATTTAGTTCATTTAAAGTGTAATCAGAAATACAATATCGATTTGTGAACCGTAATTGTACTTCCAATTTATATAATTTTCATATAATAGAGTGCGCACCAAAAATATATTTCCGTTTCCTATAAGCATATTTGGAAATTAACATTGGTGCTTAAGAAACACATAAACCGCATTAAGAAATTCTAAAAAAATATTAGTAAACAACACCCCCACCAGGTTAAGTTACCCACAATAGTTAACGGGCTGGCCCAAGCCCAATAGCAGAGCTAAGATTCGTTTCCAACAAACCCCTACTTAATTCTACTAGATTCATCTTCAAGCTCTGTTGCTGCAACTTCCACACCCTATTCGACGACCATGGCGACGCCGTCACACGGTAGAGCCGTCAAGTCTCTCAATAAATTTCCTGGCCGTGGCCGTTTTAAAGTAAGCTTTCACCTCTCTCTCAAACATCAAACTTTGCCGCCGGAATTGCTAAAACCCTAAACCCTGAGCTTTTGAACAACTTTATTATTTTTTTGAAATCGTTAAATTTCACTCAAAACATGATTAAGTAGCTATTATCAGTTATAGTTATAGTTGAACTTGAATGTTTGTTCTCGCACACTTTTTATTAACTTTTTGTATCTACAGTTTCAGCCATTCTCTGAGAGAATAGATGATATCCATATCAATGTTTATAAAAGTCTTCAACCGATCAAAGCTGAGCCGAAGGAAGGTTCTTTTTTCAGAGACTGCCTAATGGAATACAGAGTATGTCTTCTTTACAAGTTCCAAAATAGTTATGTTTGTTTTATTGGATGCGTGCTATTGCGTATGTTTTTAAAGTCGAGCAACCATATATTGCTATTCGGATAACTAACTTGTTTTTGCTATGGACACACAACATGATTGCTTTTGTGATATTACTTATTTTCATTAATTGTTAAATTCCAGGAATTGAATACGACGGAGGATTTTATCTCATTGTATGAAGAAGTTTTGACTTGTACACAAACACATTGCCTGGTGCTGTTGCAGAAGGAATTATTAATCTCAAAGCTACTTTCTAGGTTGCACATGAAAGCAAGGCTATCCCTTGAACCGCTTCTTGGGTATGCAAGTCATTTTGCGGATCCTTTTTTTTTGCTTGAGTAGGGATGTTAGTGAATTATATGATGAAATGATATCAATGAATAAATCATATTACCGCAATTGACAACATTTTATACTGAATAGTGTATCGAAGAGCAATAGCGGTCTGTGCAAATGTACTAAATATTTATTATTTTTATGCTCTGTTGTAATCTGTTTCCAACGAATTATCGAGAAAGGAAGGGTGGCATGTGAATGATCCATTTTTTCTATTTCTTTATTGCAACAAAAATCTATATAGTTTTATCAATTTTCAATTGGATAGGCGTATTGCAGGAAGACAATAACCAATAAGTAACCAGTCCTGCCAGTCGATAGGTTCAAAATTCAAATGCTGTCATACCTGTCTCTTATTATTAGGTATCAATTGGGGCTGAATCAAATTGGACATGCAAACTCAATATCATTAGTTACCAAACTGAACTAAGAGCACTTTCTTTTTGGTTAGATCTATTAGTTTGCAATTGTTGCAAACTAATCTCAACACTTTGCTTTCAGGTTAATTGCCGCTTTATCTAGAGATCTTCTACAGGAGTTTATTCCGTAAGTTGCTTATCACTTTCACTAGATGTTAGCTATTTTGGAATCTCATGTGATTTCATTTGCCAAATTTCTTCTTAGAAAATAATGATGACTTCCTTGGGCATTCTTGCTAACATCTTTCATATTCACCGTGGATATGGGTTTTTCCAGGCTATTTTCAAGAATTGTTGATTCTTTAGTATCTCTTCTAGAAAGTGGTGCTGATAGGGAGCCAGATATAATTGAGCAGGTATAGTCTATCAATTTGGCAATTTTCTTAGTTAAGATATTGTTCATTTCTCATTCGTTAGTTTCTTTTATTCAATGTGAATTATGATACTGTTCATTTTCATGCAGATCTTCACGTCATGGTCATATGTTATGATGTATCTGAAGAAATATCTAGAACAAAACCCATCAGAAGTGCTCGAGTGAGTGATATAGTCAATTTTTTTTATAAATTTTGTTTTTACTTAGTTTAGGAGGTTAACTCCTAAGTGAGTGATTTCCGGCACCACTTTGATAACATCCAAGGATTGATTTGCATAGCTGAGGGTTGGACAAGGACTGAACACTTACACATTTATCTCATTTGTTGGGTGAATTAGCTGAGAGCTGTGTTCTCTTTCCTTGTTTAAACATGCATATGCATAACTAAGTAGTTCTCTTTAGAAACTGCTGTAAATGATGCATAAATTAGATTGAGGTGAAGGCCTATAAATCACAATTTCTACCAAACAAAAGGTATAGTTTAATGTAGGCTTTGTTGCAAAAAAAGGTAAAATCTTAATGTAGCCCAAAGAGACATGAGGAATTCATGGAATGGCTTTGATGTGAACCTATAGACAGATTTCCTTAAAATGGCAACTAAGTATGATAATTGAACGGGGAACACAATTAGACTAACATATGGGCCATGGTATTGCATTATGATGCTGGCCTAGGTCGACCAAGTAAATGTGAGGCACTAAAGGTGGAACTTGAAATATAGTTTAAACAAGTGTCGACAGAAGTGTAAATTCTCAATTCTTGCCTATCATTAGTTTTTGCTGTAGATGATAGAAGATAGAAACAACAATTTGAAGAAAGGAAGGGGAATTAGAGTAGGAAATGGATGTTTACACCAAGGAATGTTGAATCCCTTACTGGAAACTAGCTAACAAATGTTCCAAACCAACTGATCTAGTCTCATAGGGTTATTGCTTGTTTTGCTTAATTTAGCCAACTACAAGTCTGATTCTTCTATGATTCTTTGACCTTGATACTTGAAGGCCAACATCAAAATTGAGGTATTATCCAAAGGAATATGTTCGACAATTCATGGCAGAGGCAATGTCATTTGTTTTGAGGAATGCCCCAAAAGAGCAGCTCGAAATAGGTATTGATGTCATTGATTATTTTTCATTGTGTATATATTTCCTCTGCAGACTGTCTCGTCTTTGTTCACATGTTTAATCAATGTAACACATCTATTCCAAAATGCTTCATGGTGTTGAAGTAATTCTGTCCTTTTCTCTTTGATTTAATGATTTTATTAGTTTGGGTGGCTATAAAGCTTGTAATATTGTTTGATTGGACAGGAGTTAGAATAGTCCTCGCCGAGGCAGTGAAGGAGCCGTCTCTATGCCGAGAGTCTGCTGTTGGATTATTGCTTTATAATATCATGAAAGGTTACTCATCAAGGCTCCATTCGAAAGCCGAGCGAGTGTTACAATTATTGACTAGCGAAACAATTTATACCATTGCCGATGGAGCCGACCAAGGCAAGTTTGTTCTATAATAAAAAATAACAATTCAACTTCTCGTTTAATTCACAAGATTCTGATCATATACTATGTTCGTTTTGTATACCATTGAAGCAACTAAACTACTTGGTATTAGTAACATACAAAGAACATGGGTATTTGACTGATCTTCTGCTCAACAGTGACTACATTTTTGAGCATTTTGATTTCTCTTTGACCTGGCTTAGTTTAAAAAAAAAGTATTAAGATTTCTCCATTTGACTCTAAGATTGGACAATCGGATTCTTAAAATCTACTGCTGTGAAGTCTGTGGCTTAGTGTTACAAGGGTGAAATTGAAATGTTAATTTCATGTACAAAGAAAAGATCACATCATTTTAGAAGCAGGTCTAACAAGTTCAGGTTTTTAAGAAATATAGAGAAGCAGTAGTAGAAAAAAATGGGATAATATCTTGAGCAGTTAGACATGGTTTATAATTAGATGCTATCATAAAGGAGATACTGAATTTGTTATGAAAAGACTTTATGAACAGGTGTGGGGAGATTTTATTGTTGCTTGGTTTAGTGCTTCAAGACCTATAAACAAAAATAGTGCTATTCTGGGCCTATTTAACTTGTTAGTGAATAATGCTCGTGCAGTGATAGTTGTTCAGGGCTATGGCTATGGCTATGGCTAGTAGTGCAATGCGTAGTGCAGTAATTTCAAAGGTAGTTATTGTTATGTTATCATTTGATGTTATTCCATTTCCAAATAAAAAAAACTAAACCTGAAAAGGAGTATGCAACAGTGTGAGAATAAATTGGAACCAAAAAGGATTGCATGGAGATGGAACAAAATTGATTAAAAGCTGCAAAACTATCAATATTATTAAATATGCAATAGAACATAATATATGATTATGTTCCAAACATGAAATATAGTAATGCAACTAATGTGCATATCAAAATAACTTCCCATGTCCATAGCATAGTGAGTTGCTTAACAATATAGCATATGCTACAGTAGGCTATTCACATCATGACATGATCATACCTAAATACTGTAACTTAGTGGCTTGACAGTTTGATTGGAAATTTGTCAGCATTCAGCAATTAAGATGTCATAAATTAAGATTTTAGCCCAACAGTCATGTATTGACGGGGATTTAAACCACATGCATAACTCATCACATCTCTGTTGGATAATGTTTATGTAATTTCTGCTCTGGCGCTGATATAATTTGGCACACCATTACAATAATGTTATTGATGGCTAATGACAGACCATGGCGAAATGCCAGAAACAGAACTACGATTTAGCAATAAATTATTAAAAGCCAGAAGTGCTAGACAGATATACACACCATTTAGATGACCGAGCCTCAGCAGGACAATTTCTTTTATATAGAAACTCGAGCATTCTAACTTCCGTAAAGTGATCAGATATTGATTGTTGCATGGACTCTATTTTGCTTATTATATGTCTCTTGTATGATATTCTTCAATCTCTATTAAAATGATTAGATATTTTAACCAGCTCATCTTGTCTTCTAGTCTTCGGACCTTCATTTGATGTTATCTGTCAGCTGATGTTGCTGTTTGTAAATTTAATTATGTCTCTACATGATTCGTAATGTGTTAGATTACATTGTTTGATTATCTCTATCTGCCTCATTTCAGAGTCAAAAACCATTTTGAACATCATAAAAATCGTGTTTAAGAAATTATGCGAGACAATGGAGCCCAAAGAGTTGAATTTGGTATGGAGTTGCTTATATAAGGAAGTGCATGAGTGTGGTAGTACTGGAAACATCAGGCATTTAAGACGCATTTTATCAGTGCTTGTCTCAGCTGTAAAGGTGCAAAAAGGTCAAAAGGTGTCTGGTAAGTTACAATACTTTATGCACATGAAATCTTCCTTTTTATCTGTTCAAGTAAGCTGTTGACAAACCAATATTGGATAAATTAATTAATTTTGCGTTCCTTTTGGGAATCTTCTCTAATGTTTAGTTTTCTCTTTGTTCTTTAAGCTGAGTTACCCTGCGTATTCCCACATTCTCTTATATTCCCCATTTTGTCAAAAGTGTAGTGTTACGTCAATAAATGTTTATAATTGTATTTAGTATATTTATTTCAAGATACTACACAGTTTCTTCAGTAAGTTGCTTTAGTTGTCCACACACTTTTCACTAATTTCAACTTCCCTTATATGTGGCAGATTATAAGCCTATGCTTGAACTCGTCCTCTTGCTCGTGCACTCATATGTCACACCTTTGGGTGTTTCCAAGTCACAAGAAGATACATGCTTAGTTGTTGATAAAGTTTTGAAATTAATGTTGGCTACTCTCGACGGACTCTGTAGTTACAGCCAATCAATGATATCTGAGTGTGCTACCCAGTGGGCTCCAATTTTTAAATCACGAAGCTCAAGGTAATGGCTGAGACAAACAGTGTACTTTTGATTTAAACATTCTGTTTAATTTATTTCAATACTCTCTTGTGACACATTTGAGCTTGTTCCAGTTTGCCACATTTCATTGAAAAACTGCTACAGAAGGATCCCTGTTTACTTGCTTTCAAAAGTAACGTTATAAGGTAACCTTTGAATCACACGATCAAATCATTGTTCTGCATCCTGGATATATTATCTGACTTATGTGCTTGTTTTTTAGTGCAATAAATGAGTTAATGGAGATTTCAGAGGAGGAGGTCATACAGCTATTAAAATCCTTCTGTGAGAAAATGCAATTGGATATACGAGACTCAGACTTTGTAAACGGCGAAAGTGCAGACGCATTAGTTAGGATATGCAATCAGTTGCAAGGGACTATCCGTTCTTGGATTGAAAAAATAAATGATATTGCACACTCTGACGTTTCTTGTGAAATTAATGAAAGAAAGGTGGCAGTGCTGTGGGGAGTTGTGAACTGCTATTCTTATATGTCTATCGTTGACGCCGTTCCATCTTTGTTGGTGCATCTTATGGATGCGGTAGATCAGCTTCTGACTGTTAAAGCTGGTATTCCACCCTTTCTCCATTCAAATATGATTTTCTTTTATGAGCAGTAGTCTTGTAGAACCTTGTGTCTGGGTAATATTAAAGCTGCTTTTCTGTTTTAGCAATTATATTTTGTTTGCTATGATTTTGAAATGGGTTTGACCATACTAAAAATAAAATACATGGCTGTGGGTTTATAGTTGGATTGCTGTATTTATTGAATCTTTTTAATGCTTTACTCATTTATCTCTAATCTGCACATGTTTCACACTGATGGATTTTGTAGGCTATAATAAACACATAATTTTTTATTTTCTTATTCTCTTTTTCATCATCAGACCACATTGCAGATACGTCTAAAAAAGCATGGGAAAGCATTATAGGTGCTTTAATAAGTTCTTACTACAGATTATGCAATGACAGTAACCTCGGAGCTGATGAAACCAAAAAGATCTTATTTTTTGCAAAACGATACAAGTCATCTTCACACGTGTTGTCGGCTGTTGCTGGTTATTTAGAAAGCAAGTATGGGTAAGTGGATATTTTAAAGTTGATTATGTTTTAAGTATTTCAATCTTTAGTCGTCATATTGTCCCTATTTTATCGGTACTCCTTGGTATTTGAATATCCCTCTCACTTTTATATATTATAGTTCTTCTTTGGAAGACATCGGGTGTAGAATATACCATCCAGAACTTGAAGAAATGACTGCAGAGGAAGTGGCAGCATTTGGTGATAATTTGTGCCATTCAGAGAAGGAGGTTCGAATTTCAACTCTTAAAATACTCTGTCAGTACAATTCTTTGGGTGAGGAAAATTCTTCGATGGATCAGTCCGCTTCGAAGAAAAGGAAAATCAAAGCTTCCAACACAGGAAATAAGTCAGCTGCGAAGAAAAGGAAAATTGAAGCTTCCTCAACTTCCATTGTGAATAACACTGGAAATGATGTATGTATCCTTAAGTTATGCGCCTTTACCTTTTTTTAACTTGAGTTTTAGTATGACTGTATTTTTGTGAAATAACAGCCTCTGCCGGTTCTACTGTCTATTGAAACAACTCCAGTTTCAATTTCTACAAGCAGAAGTATTGAACTATTGATTTCCAAGATACAGACGGACCTATCTGCTGGAAGGATTATTAATGTTTATGCAACTCTTGTTTTGAGGGGGTTATTTGGCATCTTGAATAATCAATTTAACTCTATCTGGGATCGTGTATTAGAATGCCTTTCGGTCTTGGTTAGCCTGCATTTTTCACTTGTGTGGGATACCCTTATCGATTATCTGGAAAGATGTCTAGCAATAAGAGAGACCTCTAACAGTGCCGATGGTGCATCGTTTGATCAGCCAGCTGGTATGTTTCAAGTTGATTGACATCATATATTTTGAGTTCATCCTTACTCCCCATTTTTTTTTACTCATGATGTCTTAGGTGAGAGACCAGGACACCAATGTATAGTATATTGTTCACTGTTTGGTGTTTTTAACTTGAGTTTAATCCACTCTGTAAAATTATAAGTAGTTTAATCAGTGTATATTTAGCTTAGTTTGTAACAATCTATATAAAAAGTTTTTATGTGTGTTAAATTTTGTAACGTTTTTCTTTAAATTTTTTATATTTCTAACATGTAAAATTCCTGTTTATATTATTCTACCATTGTGCTGTTTTGGTAATCAGTTGATTTTGTTTCTCAGGTTTACTCGGCTGTTTCAAAACATTTGTCTATCATGAATCTGATAGCACACCATCCGTAACAATATTGACATTATTGCTGCAAGCTTTACAAAAAATTCCAACTGTTATTGAACCTCACTCTCGGCAATTCATTCCTCTTTTTATGAAGTTCTTAGGATACAACACTCTTGATCTTGCAAGGTAGGAATCTGCTAAATCCTTTTCAATGATTTTGAAATTTATGATTTGTTTTCCTTGGCATTTCACTTAAATTGCCATGTTTAATAATTTGTTTTCTTTAAAAAAATGAAATTGCAGTGTGGGATTGTTTGATTCTCATGCTTGTAAAGGAAAGGAGTGGAAGCTGGTCTTGAAGGAATGGCTAAACCTGTTGAAACTTATGAAAAATCCCAAGTTATTTTACTTATGCCAATTTATTAAGGAGGTTCTACAAAATAGGTTGAGATGCAATTTGATTCTGTATCTTGTACATCACTGCAAAGTTATTTTCTTTTTAGTTACTTAAATAAACTTGGTGGTCCCTAATTTTAAACATCTTCCCCTTCTTTTTTTGGGATTTTATGACAGGCTTATTGAAGAAGACGATCCTGAAATACAGTTTAGAGTTCTAGATTGCCTATTAATCTGGAAAGACGATTACTTTTTACCATATACCAAGCATCTGAGAAACTTGATTAGTTCCAAAATTACAAGGGAGGAACTAACTACATGGAGTTTATCCAGAGAATCTAAAATGATTGAAGAATCTCACCGAGCTTATCTTGTGCCCTTGGTTATCCGTCTTTTGATGCCAAAAGTAAGAAAGTTGAAAGGACTTGCTTCTCGAAAGGTATATTGAATTCAAACTTCTGAGACTGTTTGATATATCTGTCTTTTGTCATCCCTTTTAGCTTGGTTGAGTGATAATATTTTCTTTGCATTTTGACAGAAAGCAAGTATTTGTTATCGGAAAGCTATTCTGAGTTTCATAACTGAACTTGATATTACTGAGCTGCCTCTTTTCTTTGCATTACTGATAAAGCCGTTGCAAATAGTAGAGAGAACTGACGGGCCTGCTAACTTGTTTTGGACTTTACCTATAGGTTGCACTAGTGAATTTCAAGCGTCTTCTTTGTTAGAATATTTTACTTTAGACAATATTGCAGCCTTATCCTGGAAAAAGAAATACGGCTTCTTACATGTCATAGAAGATGTTGTTGAAGTTTTTGATGAATTGCATATTAGACCTTTTCTTGATTTACTGGCGGGGTGTGTTGTTCGAGTGTTGGAGAGTTGCACATCAAGTCTTGACAACGTAAAACTGAATGGACTTTCTTCAGACAAACACAAATCTAGCCCCAGCTCAAACTCCTTTGGTGAGGAAAGTGTGGCAGAAAATCAAACAATGGTAATGTCTTGTTCACTCTGAATGCAAATTTTGTGTAGCACACTATGTTTATGAACTTGAGGATGAAATTGCCGTTTCGGAGTAGATGTTAGTTTAAATAGTGAGAAGCATGTGTTTAAATATTCACTTAGCTATAATGTTGGTATATTATTATTCTAGAGTCTAGACTAAAATAACCTCTTAGTCCTTAATACACAAATTTTCTGTTAGTCCCCACAAATTTGACAACAAAATTCACCAACAGTTTGTACGGTTAATTATGTTCAGTCGATGATTACAAGGTATTACAATTCATTAACAATCCACTAAACATGACTAACTATAATTTTGAACATCATTAACCATGATTTTTAGGTGTTCAAATATACCTGATATCAATTATAATTTATAATTATTCGAGTTATGTTCAAATATACATGATTTTCAAGTTTTCAAATATACATATCTATTATTAACCACATTTTCTATTCAAATATATTCCTGAAAATTGTGGTTAATAACCACTTAATATCATGGTTAATTGTGTTATGTGGATGGTTAATGAGTGTGGCATCTTGTTATATTTATTAACCATCTACCAAATGTAATTAATCATGTATTTGAACATCATTATGCATTCAAACTGTTGTTGAATTTAGTTGTCCCATTTTTTGTTGAAATAACACCCCTCATAATAAATACATTGAATCCACAAGCATACAGGGATTAAAATCAACAGTTATTTTGATAGTGACAAATGGAAATAGATGTATATTACACGGGCTAGAAATATTTAAACCTCTCTTATCAATATTTTAGGAATAAATGTCTTTGTTGTTTTGTTATCCTAATCTTATATTGCTTTTTTGTTGTTTTCCATTGGAATTTATATTGTTGTTTTTTGATAGCTTCGAAAACACTAGATTAAGCAGTTTACTATCCAAAAACATACCTTTTGTGCCTTATATGATCTGTTGTCTGTTTTATTCGATTTGATGATCTTTTTTATATTTTTTTGTGCAGATTGGCAATTCTTCAAATCAGCTCAAGGATATGAGATCTCTGTGCCTTAAAATTGTTTCCTATGTTGTCAATAAATATGAGGATCATGAATTTGGTTCTGATATGTGGGACAGATTCTTTTCCTCTGTAAAACCCCTGGTTGATAAATTCAAACAGGAGGCTGCCAGTAGTAAGAAACCAAGTTCATTGCTATCTTGCTTTCTGGCCATGAGTGCAAACCATAGACTGGTAGCACTATTAAGCCGGGAAGAAAGTCTCGTATCTGATATATTTTCCATAATTTCTGTAAATTCAGCTTCTGAAGCTATTGTATACTGCGTTCTAAAGTTTGTCGAGAACTTGTTAAGCCTTGACAATCAGTTGGATTATGAAGACAGTTCTGCCCATAGAGTTTTACTTTCAAATATTGAAGTGCTTATCGACAGCATTTGTTGTTTATTTGAAAGTGATAATGCATCCAAGAGGTATTTAGTTTTTGTCTGCTTGTGCTTTCACAAATTTATTGGCCGGAGTAATTGTTTTAACTTTTAACCATGTAGTTTGCATGTTAAATAGCAGGAAGCAAATAAGTTTGATTTTTGTCATAAGGAGCCAAGCATCTCTTAAACTTAGACAAAAAATCCGTGTCTAGGAAGAGCCTTTGGAGTCTTGCATTCAGTGTTCCCATCTGTACCAATCTTGAATGTCTAGACCTATTTGAAAACAAACAGCTGAATGGCCTGTCATTAATGTGTTCAACAGTTATTTCATAAAAAATTGCTATCTTTCAATCTCGATGACAAAGAACTTTAGTTTTGACTGACCATCGGTCTTATATGCATTGTACAGTCTGGGTTTAAGTTCGAGCTTCTGGTTAGTTATTGGTTACATCTATCCTCGACAGCTGACATCTCTATCTAACTGGGATTCGGATTAAGGGGGAAAATATATTTGCATTATGTAATTTATAAGTATTTGGTTCCCAGGGCAAAGCGGGAGAGTGGGTGAATTCAATCAAATTAAATGAAGAAATAACAAGATTAAATAAATACTTGCATATTTGGAAAATGTTGGAGCATGATATTTTTCTCATATGAATACTTGCATTTTATGTTGGCAAGAAAGAGCATGCCTTTTTCTTGTATAAGAACATGTAGAGGGGAGTTGGGGCTTGAGTTTTAAATGTTTTGACCCGTATTTTTTCCTTGGACAGAAAACTGATCAAATCTCCTGGAGAGACATTGATAAGAATTTTCAAATTTTTACCCAATTACATCAAGGAGGCAGAGTTTGCCAAGCGGTTTGTAGGCATACTGCTTCCATTTTTAGAAATGAAAAGACAAAGTTCTGGTGAGAGAACCTCCAATATCTCCAGTTGCTTTATCATCATCTTTTTCTATTTTAGCTGGTTAATTTTTATATTGATACTGAAGTTCTCCTTGCTATATTGTAGATGTTTGTATTGAAGTCTTGCAAGTCATTCAAAACATCATTCCCATATTAGGAAATGGAAGCACCACTAAAATTTTGAGTGCTGTTTCTCCTTTATATATTTCGGCTGAGTTGGATATGCGTTTGAGGATATGTGATCTTCTTGATGTCCTTGTTGCATCTGATGCATCTGTACTCTTGGTGGTACTGATTGCTTTCTTTTCTAAATGTCTCTCTTGATCCACACATTACTTTCTGACAAATACATTCTACATTCTGTGTTCTGTTTTAATTTCCCTGCTATGTTGTTGGGGTGCAGGCCAAACTTCTTCGTCAGCTGAATGCAACATCTAGTTTGGGTTGGCTTGATCATGATGTTATTTCGGATGCCTACAAAAACATCAATACAGATTTCTTTAGAAATGTTGAAATGGAACATGCATCACTTATTTTATCCCACTGTGTGCTTGACATGTCCTCAGAAGAAACAACTTTTGTTTGTAATGCTCAGAGTTCATTGCTATCTTTTGTTGGTTTTTCTGCACTCATCCTTTTGCAAGAGGTAAGCAGTGAACAGGAGTTGTCTGTAATGCAAAACACTACTCGTAGTTGTTGGACAAAATCATGCATCCAGCGCATTACAAAGAAATTTCTCTTGAAGCATACTGCAGATGCCATGGATGGACCACTTTCTGTTAGAAAGGTACATGGTAATTCATTTTATAAATCATATTTCAGAATTGGGTACTGTATGAATTTGTAGTTATGTGTAATTATATTTGCATATGCTCAGACTCAATCCCATGCCTACTTTGACAAATAGTTGCCATTCCTATTTCCAAGCATGGCAAAGATGTTGGAATGATACTGACATAGATACTAAGTTTATTACTAATTGACAATGTAAATATAAAATTCATGAAAAATATTGTTTAACTCTATATGTTCATATGCTGTTTGATGTCATTGCAGGGATGGATGAAGTTGTTAAGTCAAATGGCTTTAAAGCTTCCAGACGTGTCAAACCTTAAATCGCTCACAGTTCTGTGCAATGAGGACGGTGAAGCAAATTTTTTTGACAATATAGCCGATCCAGTGGTAGGTTTATGTTTAACTGTTAATCTAAGTAATTTCCCTTTTTGTTGTATTATGTGTATTTTTGCACCTTTCCTTATTGTAGTCAGAAACACTTTCAGACTCATTGTCTTGTTATTTTAGCCATAACTTTTGGTTGAGTTATTAAAATTGATTTCAAAACATCTCACATGTAAATTTGATATTGCAGATCCGTAAGAGAGTGAAGGCATTGTCGCTATTTAGAAATGTAATCAGTACAAACAAATTATCAGAGGTAGTAAGTTTAACTTCACAAGTATAAGCATCATTCCTAGTGACCATTTTTTTTTGGATAAGCATCTAATGACTGGTTTTTAATTATTTATGGTTTATTCCAGTTTATCACTGAAAAAGTGTTCATGCGTCTCTTCTTCAACATGTTGTTTGATGAGAAAGAAGGACAGGTTGACCATATGAAAACTGCATGCATCGAGACCATTGCTTCTGTAGCTGGTCAGATGGGATGGAAGTCATACTATGCACTATTGGACAAATGTTTTCAGGGAACATCCAGGAGTCCAGACAAACAGAAACTCTACATACGCCTCGTCTGTTCTATTTTGGATAAATTTCACTTTTCAGAACTTTGTCACACTGAAGAACCTAAGAAAGCTTTGGTTGGTGTTTCTGACAAGGGGATAAGTGACATTGTTTCTTCAGTTAATTTAGGAAACTTTGGTGCATCTGATGTGAACACAGATATACAGACGTGCCTCTATAAAGTTGTGCTTCCTAAAATACAAAAGCTGATGGATTCTGATTCAGAAAAGGTCAATGTAAATATCAGTCTTGCTGCATTGAAACTACTTAAGTTACTTCCAGGTGATGTGATGGACACATATCTTCCAACTATCATTCATCGAATTTCAAACTTCTTAAAGAGTCGTCTAGAAAGCATTCGTGATGAAGCTAGGTCTGCATTGGCTACTTGTTTAAAAGAGCTTGGATTGGAATACTTGCAATTCATTATTAAGGTTTTGCGATCTACCCTAAAGCGAGGATATGAACTTCATGTCCTAGGATACACACTGAATTTTATTTTGTCCAAGTGTCTCGCAAGTGCAGTTTGTGGAAAGATAGATTACTGTTTGGGGGATCTCCTTTCTATCATAGAGAATGACATTTTTGGAGCTGTTGCAGAGCAGAAGGAGGTGGAAAAGATAGCTTCAAAAATGAAAGAAACAAAGAAGAAAAAGTCATTTGAGAGCTTGAAATTGGTGGCCCAAAATGTAACATTCAAAAACAATGCGCTAAAGCTGCTTGCACCAGTGACTACTCATTTGAAGAAACATGTCACGCAAAATGTGAAAGGAAGATTGGAAAATATGTTGCATAGTATAGCTGCTGGTATTGAAAGCAATCCATCTGTAGATCAGACCGATCTATTTGTCTTTATTTATGGCATTGTTGAGGATGGCTTAAAGAATGAAATAGGTTGGCATGAGAATAAATCGACAAAATTGGAAGATAAGGATAGGCGTACTAACGCTAAAAGAATTTTTTCAGGCCGTGTAGTTGCTAGTGGCTTATTATGTTCACATCTGATAACAGTGTTTGGTATCAGAATATTACATAAACGAATGAAGGGTTTGAAACAGGGTGTAAAAGATGAAAATACCTTATCCTTATTAGATCCTTTTGTCAAGCTATTAAGTGATGGTCTGTATTCGAAGTACGAGGACATATTGTCTGCTTCCCTTGGATGCCTTACTGCACTGGTAAAATTGCCTTTACCATCTCTTCAAGTACATGCTGAAAGAGTAAAGTCTGCTGTACTGGATATTGCCCAAAGTTCAGTGAACTCTATCAGTCCTTTAATGCAGTCATGTTTGACATTGCTGACTATGCTTTTGAGAAACACTGAAATTTCTCTCACCCCAGACCAAATACACATACTTATTCAGCTTCCAATATTTTTGGACCTTGAAAGAAATCCATCTTTGGAGGCCCTTAAACTTCTAAAGGGTATTGTCAACCGCAAGCTGGTTGTACCTGAGATATATGATATTGTTACTAGGGTTGCTGAATTGATGGTGACAAGTCAAATGAGTTCTATTCGCCACAAATGCCGTAAAATTTTGTTGCAATTTTTGCTTGATTATCGACTTTCACAAAAGCGCTTGCAACAACATCTTGACTTCCTGCTCTCGAATTTGAGGTAAGTGCACAGTGTGTTCTTGTTTATGTATTATAGTTTTCTTTCTCATTTTTTCAAGATTGATTTTAGGCTAATGTATGTTTTATCCTTACAGGTATGAACATTCGACTGGGCGGGAATCTGTTCTTGAAATGATTCATGATATTATAGTCAAATTTCCAACAAATGTTTTGGACGAGCAATCGCAGACATTTTTTCTCCATTTGGTGGCTTGCTTGGCCAATGATAATGATGATATTGTTCGTTCTATGAGTGGGGCTGCTATAAAGAAGCTCGTTGGTTCTGTTAGTACCAAATCACTTGAATCTATTCTTAAATATGCTCTTTCTTGGTATTTGGGTGACAAGCAGCAACTCTGGGGTGCTGCCGCACAGGTATTTCTCTCTAAATTGCCTTGTGAATCATAATTTGATTAGAAAGCATAAAGCTTGAATATCATATTGTCTCGATACCTATATTTTGGGTCTGATTGTAATATGATCATCTTAGCAAATTGTGGCTGTTTGGATCTTTGGGGCCTTCTTTGTGAATAAGTTAGATTAGTTACTCTAGAATGTCAGTAGAGCCTAACTCTTCTCTACAAAGTCTGGCTTATAAAATGTGGAGCGCCCCCCATTTATACACAATTATTCAAGCCATCACTCATTTGATGTGGGACTCTTCACACTCACACCCCCTCACAGCCAACACTATTGGGCTTGCTGCATGGATATAAATGGTGTGTGGTCCCTGATAGCGGAAACCTGATAGCAGGTGACCAAAATAGATCATGGATAGACTCTGACACCATCTTAGAATGTGAGTTGGGCCTAACTCCACATCCCTACAAAACCTCCTTATATGGCGAGGTGTGTCCCCCACGTATAGACTATTATTTAGGCCATCACTCATTTGACGTGGGACTCTTTAACAATTACAATTTAAAGGTGTTGTGATATCCACGATATGTCCAATACCTCATCATTTCTCCTGGAGAGATTCCCTAAAATTACATACAGATGAAATTAAAGAGCCATTAATGAGCAACCCCCTTACATCTTCATTTTCCCCAGAGATCCTCCATGATGGAGGAGACCATAGGTGGAGCAGCTGAGCAGCAGAGAACAAACTTAGCCCATAGCAAAGACATGTATGCGATGAACCCCTGCAAATATAAGCATTTCTTTCTCACCAAATACTCTAAAGAACTAAATAAGTGCCACATTGGCATAACCCTGCAAATACAAGCATTTCTTTCCAACCAAATGCCCAAAGAACAAAAAAGGTGCCACATTAGCATAAATGATCTCTTCACTTCCATTGACAAACTGGAAAGAAAATGTTCTAAATTTAGATGAAACTTCCACGACTCAAAAAATACCAAATGATAGTGGCTTCTGTCCGTTATATTATATTGGGTGCTGTTTAGAAACTAGAATTACACATAATGCAATCTAATGGAGAAAGAGCTCTGTTAGCATGTGTATAGTAATAATACATTCTTGAGAGCTGGTGTCCAAACAACAAATTTGACCTTAGAATTACAATAGCTATAGTTTTCCATAGGGTATGCAGTAGTAAGAATTTAGAACCAATCTGTTCGTTGTTTTTTATTTTTCTTGTTTTTTCTCAAACTCTAAAATTATCTTAGCAGTTTTTTTTTGGGTCTGTTTTTGATATCTGAAATGGCTGATACAGGTTTTGGAGTTGCTGATTGAGGTAGCAAAGAATGAATTTCTTAAAGATATAGACTGTATGCCTTTCGGAAAAAAAGAAAGACCTATAGACTGTATCTTGCCGGTGACTTGTCGCATCTTGCAGTCTGCTATACATGCAGTCAGAAACAGGCAAGAGAGCTTCGAGTCCGAATCCACCCTTCCACTTTGGAAGGAGGCATATTATTCTTTAGTTATGCTAGAGAAGATGATTCATCAATTCCATGAATTATGCTTTAGAAAGGATCTGGAGGTAAATTTCGTTGTTCTGTCTATTTTTTTTTTAATAAGTTGTACTGTCTATTACATATGTACATACAGACTTGGATTTCTTTGGCGGTGCTTGTAGCTGCATATGGCAGAGTGGAGACAGTTCTTTCCTGCCCTTCAATAAACATACACGATTTATTAATAAAAAAATTTCCAATTAACTTTCCACCCATCATTTTTAACTTCTCGACAAGCACACCGACATATTTCTTTTACCTACATTTCAGGATATATGGGAAACAATATGTGAGATGTTGTTGCACCCACACTCGTGGTTACGCAACAAATCAGGTCGTCTCATAGCTCTATACTTTGCACGTGTAACAGATGCCAACAGAGAAAGTCATCAAAGCTCCTTAAGTAGTTATTTTATGATGACTCCTAGTAGAGTATACTTAATAGCCACTTCTCTTTGCTGCCAATTGAAAATGCCGCTCATAGATGATGTTGACAGCGACCTGATGACCCAGAATATTGTCTTTGCTATTTGTGTTGTCTATTCTTTAATGGGGCAAACTGCCAGCATAGATCCATCTGCATTCTGGTCTACTCTTGAGCAGAATGAGCAGAATCGGTTCCTCAAAGCTTTTGACTTGATTAATGCAAAAAAAATAAGAAGCATGTTCATGTCTTCATCACTTACCTCCTCTGTATGTGAAGATAATAGTCAACTTAATGTTGAGAACACCCAACATATACTTGTATCGTTATTGCTCAAGAAAATGGGCAAAATTGCTCTTCAAACAGATGCTATTCAGGTTGGTAATCGATCTCATTGCATATATGTTCTTTAGTCTTGACCAATGTGCATATGAGTAATATTATTTCTTATTTTTCTTGTTTAACAGATGGAGATAGTCTTCAACAGTTTTGGGAAACTTATGGCACAGATACAGATTTGTAGTATGGATGACTGCCTGCTCTATGCACATGTAGTCCTGTTACCTCTATATAAAGTTTCTGAAGGATTTGCTGGAAAAGTAGTGGCTGGTAATTTCTCGTTTCCCTCTTAAATTTCCTGTATAGATAAATGCCAAGTCTGCTAGATATATATTTTACTGGAGAATATCTAAATGTGGATCATTCTATAATTTCTTGTGTCATATCAGGATCCTATCCCTTATCTCAGGGATTTTTATTGAAGTTTTTGTTTACCTTGTATCTTTTCTGTGTTTTTTTTTATTTTTAATTTCTATTTCTTTTGGTGGTGGAATGGGGATAACCAGCCATAATGTCTAATAAACAAACTGCTCGATTTTTTCCTAGTTTTATCTTTACCAATTCCTCCTTTCATGTCATGTTTTTTTTTTGTTTTATTGTTTTACCACCCTGTTATTACCGTCTAACAGCTGAGTATGATTGTTCCTTACCAGATAATCTCAAAAAGTTGGCAGAAGACACCTGTGGGAAAATAGAGAATATTATAGGTACTCAAAACTTTGTGCAAGTTTATAACCTTATCAGGAAGAACCTCAGTTTAAAAAGAAATAAGAGGAAACAAGAAGAAAAGGTCATGGCTGTTATCAATCCGATGCGAAATGCCAAAAGGAAATTGAAAATTTCTGCCAAGCATCGTGCCAACAAAAAGAGAAAGGTTATGACTTTGAAGATGAGGAGATGGAATCGTTGATTGAGGGAGGGGTGTTAGTAGAAAGTCCCTTAGGTATATGCCTCTAGTTTGGAGCTTTCAGTGCTTGTGTCAAGGTTTTAGTACAACCAAGAATGTTACCATCTTATAGAGATTCATTGTCATCTGTTTGTTTGAAGAAAAACAAGTGGGTTCGGAATTTTTTGAAGATCACGAGCAAATTGGTATGTACTTCCCAGGAGGAAGTATGCTGAGTTTTCTGTCTGAAGATTTTTGGGTATTTCCAGGTGTTATGGTTGTACATTTTTAAGGATTGGAAAAAAGAAGTACAAAAGGATAGCACAAGGAGGAGAACAGATTTTGATGTTCTTTTCTTAAACCTCTGTGTATCCTTCATTTTTGCATAGAATGTAAAATAGGCACTTAATTTTGTCCCAATTGAATGTAAAACATATTATTGATAAATTTTACTTGCTAACCACAAATTTGCATTTTAAAATGTAGTATGTAATCATTTTAACTTTAATGAGTAAAAAGCAAACACTAAGGGCATGTGTGTTTCAGCTTTTAAAAAAAATATATTTTTTTGTATTTTTGAAAATAAAATTTACAAAATCGTTTTTTAAAATGTTAAAAGTTTTTTTATATTTGTTTTTTCCAAATTGAAATAGTAATTTTAATATCTTATAACATATACATATATAACTGAAGACCAAAAAATAATCAAGATTGTAATTTTTTAAAAAGTTATATTTTAAAAATGATTTTTATAAAAATCTGTTTGATATAGTTTTAAAATTAAGTGATTTTTTAAAATAAAAAGATGAAATACAAACCAAATTTTCAGAGAAATTTCTTTGTAAAAGATTTTTACTAAAAATTATGTAATGCAATAAAAATCATTTAAAAAGAAACAAAAACAATCGGGTCCTAAATTTGGAGAAACCGAATTCAAATTTTATTTCTGATACATATATGAGCTTTTTCAGCCATACAAATCAAATAGTGGATCACCCTATGTCATCTAATATTTTATAACTAGGATGATATTTTTTTTTGCTAGTATCAAAATCTATAAAGAGTCAAAGTGAATCATGCTTTCAAAACTCTTACTTTCCTGGCTTTTCATCTGAGTTGGTCTTTTTATTTGATCAATGGACAAAAAAGGAAAAAAAACCGAGTGGATCTTTACCTATGGAGTAGATGGATGCACTTCAGGTAGAATAACAATCAACATGGTCACGTCGTATTAAAAGATGGACTTTATGACAAGGTTTTTTCTTAAAGTCTAATACGTGTTTTTTTATTGTAAGTTGCTTTTAAGGAATTTTTGTGTTAAATTCTAAATTGTCTTACAATTTTGATGAATTATTAATGATTTTTTTTTTATTTTTATAATAGGTTTTGTTTTGGATTGGTTTAATAATTAGAATCGATCCAATCCGCTTTTATCCTTTGTGTAGTCCAAACAACTTTGACCCACTAACTCCGATCTCCTGTCGAGCACATTTGATCGACCGTTCCGTGGGAATATCAGACTATGATGTCTTGGTCGTGCACCTGCCCACATCAACAATCAGTTCTAAGTCTGCTCGCCACTCGTCGAGCAGACAACCAAGAAGGCGCTCGAGACGCGTCTGTCAGTCATCTTACCCTTGCTCGAAGCAACGACTAGTTACGAACACGACTGCCCGTTTTGACCAAGTCCTAGCAGTTACCTATTTTCGCAGACCTGAATATCTATGCCTAAAAATAAGAACCAATAGCTACGCGCCGAGGGCATTATATAAACCCTCACACTTGTGAGGGCAAGGTATCATATATTCATCCTAAAAACCTAATCTCTTTCTTGTATGTTGTACCCCAAAATTTTCTCTTCCTTTTCTTCAAGATATTTCTCACAAAAAGATCTCAAATGCTCAATGATTCTCAAAGAGTTGACCAGACAAGCTCACCTCTTAAGTACTGAGACTACAAATTAGGGTTTTGGTTTTCATAAAGAAAATTGGACTTATAATACCTCAAATGACTTTCAGGGTTTATCATAGACCTCCAAGAATGCTCATGCAAAGTTTCAAGTCTTGCATCTCAAAATTGCTCAATCAATTGCTCAGATGATTGAAAATCAACTGTATTGAATGAAAAGTCAACTGTGATCAATATACAGTCAAACTTCAAGATTTTTGGCCAACATCAACATTTTGAAGTCATATTCATTATTTGATCAAGGGATGATCATAATTCCTCAAGGGAAGCATTCAAATCATCAAAGGGCAAGATTGTCAAAATTAGGATTTTGATTGAGAATGACTGATCATTGACTTTTGACCTAGTACGTGACCTAATGACTTGAAGCATGATCTTAAGGACTCAAACACAATATATTGACCTAATTGCATGGTTCAAAACATCCTCAAAGATCAAGTGATTGATAGTTGAAATTTGGATCAACTGATGAAAAGTCAACTGACACACAAAAGTCAAACTTTGACTTTTTGGTCAACATTGAATTTCAAAGGTCAAGATTCATCAAGACATTTAAAAATATCAAACTTGATCATCAAGAATCAAGAAAGTCAAGAAAAGTCAACAAAAAGTCAAGATTTCTAATACTTAGAAAAATTCTTATTTTTGACCTTGATAATTTCACTACTTCATGACTATTTTTCACTATGATGCAAGATGATTCAAGGAAAACTTTCAACGTGAAAGTTGTATATAGTGATGAATTCTATAACTTTGTCCTTGAGGGTTGATATCCAAAAAATTCTTGGTTTAAGAGATATATGCCCATGAAGTCATGACATTTTTAACAAAACACTTAGTGAAATTTTCAACAAGTTTGGTCAGATTTTTGTCCCAACTTCTTGGAAATTTTTCACCAAGTTCCAAGTTGATTTATCCAAAGTGATCAACATGAAGTTTGTAGGCAATGATTCAAGCTTTTCAAAATGTCCAAGAACCCAAATAGATCATTTTTGAGCTAAGACATTCGAAGAGATGAAGTTGAGCATTCATTCTTGAATTACAAGGCATTTTCATGAAGAACACATGATCAAATCTCAAACCTATGGTGCATAATATTTCTTTGCAAGCTTCTAACTTTCAAATAACTCCATAATTTAATATTTACACAATTGATTGAGGTATGATCCAAGTGATTAAGCCATTGTCCAAACCAATTTTCCATTTTTGAAACAAAGTTACCATTGCCATTCTTATAAAGTTGCTTTAATCACAAAGTCAACTTGTTGCTTCTGTACACACTTAACCTATAAGATCAAAAGAAACATGTTTAAAGTGTTCAACCACTTTAGAGGGCATGGTACAAGCATTGGAACCATGTTCTTCAATGTTGCTTCAAAATTAAGTAACCTAGCCATAACATGTGACTTTGTGAATCAAGCCATCTCAACCTCTAAAACCTTTCCTCTATAAATAGAGAAGTTATTTGCAAGCTAACATACGAGTTTACAAGCCCTCTAACCTCCTCAAACTCCCTGAAATCAGAATTTGCACACAAATCCTCCATTATTGCAACTTCTGACCTTGAACACCAAACTCCAAATCCCTTCGTGCGTTTTCACTTTTAATCAATCACAAAGATTCTATAACTCATATAGAAGCTATCAAAACACTTTCTATGCAACTGTAACACCATCTTCACCATCCTCCATTTCCAAAAACAGCAACCTGAAACTTGACTTCTCTAGAAGAATCCAGCCACTCTCAATCCAAAGTAAGCATTGCAATAGTTTCCTCGGAGTTTAGTGAAGCTATCCAGATCATCACAACACCTCTATGAGTGCTCCAACTTCAAACACAATTTCCAATTTTGAGGTTATTTTTCTCAACTTTGAACTTCCTATACAAGCATCATTAGTGGTTACTTTGTGAATGAAAAATGTAGACATCATTGCCCTGAAGCTAACCATGCCTTTTGTTTTCATTTATATTTCCTGAGTGATGCGAATTTTGAAGTTGAACTTTATGAAAAAACTAGGGTTTATTTTGGTACCAATAGAAATTCATGTTTATCTTTGAGAGTTAGCTTAAGTTATTTACATGGTTGAATTCGTGGTGAAAAACCAAGCAACTTTCATGTTTACACTTTTGAAAATGGTTGAGAAATGAGCAAGTTTGAAATTCAAAAACATTGTCCATTGCTTCTGGCGTGAGGTAGGGGATGAAGTTACAATCAGGAACAAGTTTAAAATATATTTAGTGGTTGTTATTTTACCACCAGATGTAACAACCACCCTAGTGATAAAGAAGCGCACGCTAAGTCATTTGTCTATAGGGACCTGGGTTCGAGCCCTAATGGTACCCTTTTATTTTTTTCATATTATTTCCTTGTAGATCCAGTATGAACCACCCAGTGCACATGCTATACACCCTTATTCCCTCTCCACGTGATCGTCATAAAGTCAAATTCAACGCATCCAAGTGTCAGCCTATGATGTACTCCAAGAAATCATTCCAAGAAATCATAAAATATTTTCTTTTCTAAATTGATATTAATATCTAAATTATTTTCTAAACAAATCTTTAAACTTAGGTTTTATATTCTCCTTAATTTTAATTAATTTATATTTTTAGGGTTTGTTAAATAATTAATTAATCTCTCTTGTAATTAAAAATAATTAGTTTAATTAGGTTAATTACAAACCCTTTTCATAAAAAAGATCATCAAAACAATTTTTTTCTTCTTTTTCCTCTACTTTACATTTTTGTGCATTTTTTTTATTATTCATATTCAATGGTTTGTAATAGATAATTAGACTTTATTTATTTCCTCCCCTCATTCACAAATTTGTACCCCCATTCCCAAAGCATTATACTAGCGTAGGATATTTAAATTCCGCAATTTACCGCTTTCCTTATTATTGTTAGTAATTTGAGTTTGTATGATAAATTAAAACCAATCATAGCAAAACCTTAATCCAAGACAAATAATTGAAACCAACACACTTTTCACACATGCACCTCTAGGGTAAACCTCACTTGTTGCCTCAGACATAAACAACCACGTCCCTCGAACG